AATGCTATTGAGACTATATGTTTCGTATGAACTTTGTCCAAGATTTCATTTGAAGAGGTGGGAGAGGTGGTTCGGTGGTTAAGAGCACTGGCTGTTCTTGCAGAAGACCTGGATTCAGTTCTCAGCATCTACATAGTGACTCACAACCTCCTGTAACTGCAGTTCCAGGGGATCCAGTCCCCTCTTCTGGCCTTCACAGGCTTCAGGCACATCAGACATACACACTGCATATATACATACATCCAGACACTCGTGTGTGTGTGTGTGTGTGTGTGTGTGTGTGTGTGTGTGTGTGTGTGCATGTTCAAAGACTTCATCTACCTCTTCCTACCTCATTGCTCACTTGCCTCTCTCCCAGCCTAGGCTCCAGTCCGTGTAGACATTTTTTGGGCCCCTCCACTGACACTGAAGGTCTGTGGCAGAGGCTAGCTGAGGACAAGCATTTTTTGTGTTCACACTGTTTCCCTGTGGTGGTGGGGTGGAGTGGATAATCCCTCCCATGGGCTCAAGCCCTTAAAGTCTTCAAAGCCCTCCTCACTAGCACTCTAGAGTCAGGTAGAGTATATGAGTGGTCCTTACAGAAGAGACATCAAGGCTCACAACAAGACAGACACTTTCTGTGTAGTGTGTCACAGACCCAGGAGCTGAGTGCAGTCTTGAAACTGTTTTCAGGGCCAATGTCTATCCAAGCAAAATGGCCTACTTTTGTGAGGCAGAGTCTGGCCATTTAGCCCAGGCTGGCCTAGAACCTGTGATCCTTCTCAGCCTCCTCAAAGCTAGGATTATACATTCATACCAATATACACAGCTTAAACATCCATTTGTCTGTGTCTTCATACACATTAACAAAGTTTTTACCCCTCTAAAACACACTGGCACATCCCACCTTCATAAATGAAGTTTGTAGAGGAAAATTTATTTCATTTCATGAACTAGAAGCAGTATACCTAGCTTCCTAGCTTGAGGTGTGGTGATATGATCCTGTAGTCCCAGCATTTGGAAAGCTGAGGCAGGAGGATCATAAGCCGCCAGGCCAGCCTGACCTACATATTGAGAATATTTCTCCAGGAAAAAAAAAGCCAGAAAAGTAAGATACCTATTATAGTTCCATTCCTTCAAGTGAATTATAACTAGCCCAAATCACTTTAAAATTTCCTGTCTCTTCAGATTTCTGGATTAGAAACCAATAAAAACATTCACCTAATGCAAAAAAAAAAAAAAAAAAAAAAAAAAAAAGGGTTCTGACTAGGCCACTGACTCTGAGTTAGTTAGGCTTGGAGGTATGGACTTAGTGGTCACAGTCTAGAATTGTCCAAAGTGAGGCAGGACAGATGGCACAGTGGGCAAAGAGCTGCTCAAGCATAAGGACCTGTCTGTGTTCAAGTCCCCCGAACCACATGTATGCTAGTACGCACAGCACTATTGGACGGAGGGACACCGGAGGATTGCTGGTGCCGGAGCTTGCTGCTCAACAGCCTCGCTCTGGGGTCAGTAAAAGACCCAGTCTTAGGAGAAGAAAGAAGGCAGGAAGTGACCGAGCAGGACACCCAGCATCTTCCTCTGGTTTCCATATGTGTGAATTCCTTGACACATTCGGGTGTGCAGACATCCTTACATATACACAATAAATAAATAAAAATTTACAAAAAGAACCCCCAAGGGTGTATGCAGTTTGTCAAAGCAGACTCAAGAGACCCATTTTCCAGGTGGTCTAACCTCTAAAAAGGCAAGCTTGGATCTAAGGCCTTTTGCTTGTTGTGGGATACACAGAACCCAGAGGCAGCTATGCATGCGTGAAGACAGAACTCCAGAGGCAGCAGGTCGAGGTCTGCCTGATACACCTCCAGGCTGGTTTCTGCTTAACTCATCTGGGGAATATGTGGCCTGGCTCTGCACAGATTTTGATGTCTGTTTATGACACAGTCCGAGATCAAATCCCAGCACCTGACCAGGGCTATCTCCAGGAGAGGCGCCAGAGACAATTTAATGGAGAAGTAAGTCTTCCCAGTGCATACCATGCTTCTGAAGTACTGCCTCTCATTCTGACATCTCTGATAACTAGATGCCCATGGGTGTGAGCAGAGATAGGAGTGGGTGGGTGGCAAGGTTTAGAAGGCAACCCCTTCATTTTATAATGTCACTGTACTATCTAGAGAAGTATTTATTGAAGCCTTCTAGTGACTTAGCCTCAGAACCCAGAGTAGAACCCAGGTCTCTTGACTCCCGAGTCCTGTCCTTCCCAAACCCACGGCACAGCACAGCATACCCACACCCATTTTACTTCAGTTCTCTGCACCCCAGATGCTTTCAGCTTCAATATAAACTGAGGACATGACCACTCCAAGGTACGGTTGAGGGGCAGGTTTTTATTGTAGGTATGAGGGAGAGGACAGCCAGAGGCCTCTGGAAGAGACCAGGGCAGGGACAGAAAGTGGTACATTGAACAGGGTCAGTGGACTGGACCAGGCCATGGCGCTGGGGAGGGGGGGTTTGGGGGAAGAGCCGGAGAGGAAGACAAAGAGAGTGTGGGCAAAGGAGACTGGGGGGGGGGGGGGGCTGGGGCCAAGAGAGGAAGACAAAAGAGCGCCAAGAGAGTGCATGGCCGAAATGACAGGCTTATATGGGCCTGAGAAGCTGGGGGAGGGAAGCCCGTGAGCTGGGGAAGTTTAGGGTAGGGGGTGGGGTGAGAAGAGCTGAGAAGAGCCTCAGGTACTGAGTGAGCCTGGAGGGCAGCATGGTCTTTCATATGCTAATTGGCATCACAGTTAGCTATTTGTCCAGAGTTTCTTTTGAAGCTGACAGTAGCCACTTGCCACCTGTAGCGATTAGACACTTGACCCTGAAGTGGAAGGGCACTAGTGGTACAGCCCTGGGTTCCATGAATAACAACACAACAAAGGACAACCCAACAAACTGGAAGATATGCTGGAAGAGCAGAGTGGTGGTGCCTGGTGGCACAGGCCTTTAATTCCAGCACTCAGGAGGAGGCAGAGGCAGGCGGATGTCTGTGAGTTCGAGGCCAGCCTGGTCTACAGAGTGAGTTCCAGGACAGTCAGGACTGTTACACAGAGAAGGCTGTTTCCAAAACCAAACACACAAAAGTGCTGGAGGGAGGGTGCAAACAGTGTTCTAGATGACACTGCCCAGCCGAGTGCTGAGTGTGCTCAGTAAGATGTGCTGAAAGGTGTGCTGGGAATAAACATATACACTGTTCTTTGAATATTGAGTATGGACCTAAGGAAGGGGAATGGCTCACTAACAAGTTTTATGTTGGTCCCTTGAAAGATTTCTATGTTCTCAAGTCAGCCACTTGCATACCACCAAATACAGGGTGGGGGTGAGGGGGGAGACAGAGTCTCACTATGTAGCCCAGGCTGGCCTCAAATTGACCATCTTCCTGCCTCAGTCTTTCTAGTTGTTGAGATTACAGGCAGATGCCACAAACTTTGGCTTACGGTTGTTTTAACCAACCAAGAAACAAGTTGGCATGAAATCAGTTGTAGGTGGTGTTCACACCTTTTTACATGGATTACATATTCAAATTATATTTTGGATAATTGGGCCGCAATGGAACATTACAGTTAATTTTACTTGTCAACCTTAGTTTCTAGAAAGTTCTAGTTCTCGTGTGTGTCACCGGGCTACATGTCCAGCAGGAAGAAGGCATTAACAATGTTGTCAGTTTTGAAGCACTAGCAGGGTAGGCAACGAGGCCAGGGGCCAACAGCCAGTGAGAAGCAGACACTACAGGACAGACAGAAGCAACCAGCAAGCAGAGCTTCTGAGGCCGGGCTGCCCGAAGGCTAGTGAGGGCTCTGGTAAGAACCTCTGACACAGCCAGGTGGTGTGGCGGTGGCCGTAAGAGCGTAAGCCTTTAATCTCGGCAATCAGAGCAGAGGCAGATGGATGTCTGAGTTCTAGGCCAGCCTGGGCTACACAGGAAACTCCTGTCTCAAAAGAACCTCTGATGGGCCAGTCCACACAGAGTCCCGGGGTAGGGGATTGGAGGCCTAGTTTCAAGTCGGGGAGAACTGGGAAAAATGGGCAGCAGCAGCTCTGCAAGGCTGCCCTGATAGACTTAAGGACAGAGTCTGTGCCCTGGGCTGTACTTGACCTCACTGTGACATTTAGCTTCTCTGTGCCTCAGATTTCTCTCCTGTGAAATGGGAATACAGCCAAGCTCCTGTGCCACAGGGAACGAGTAAAGCTCTCAGTGCTTGCCACACACTGCGGACTCCAAAGGTGTTAATGTCGTCATGATTAGTAAGGCGTTGGGAAGCCAGCAGTGGCTGTTCACCTTAGGCCTCCTCCTACAGTCCTAGGATGGGCCCTGGCTGATGGCTTAGGGAGCTAGCTGTAGGTAGGAGTACAAGGCCAAGGAACAAGGTGGGATGAAATCAGTTGCAGGTGGTGTTTACACCCGAGGCAGAGGTCCTGAGGCTCCAGGTGAAGCTGCAGCTGAGGTCAGAGTCCTCCCTAGGGGTTGGCTCTGTGGCCACAGCTGCGGACGTGAGGCTGTAGGCTCAGGAACTGAGGCAGCCCAAGCCAGCCTCTCCTCTCCTCTTTCTAGAAACATCCCTGGATGTGACAGGCCTTGTCCTAGTCCTGCCTGTGCATAGGGATTGTGGGCCTTGGCTCAGAGAGGGAAAATCACATGGAGACATAGAAATCCCTCTGTCTATAGCTCAAATAACGAGCCCCAGCTTTTGCTGCAAAGCACAAAGCCAGAAGCAGCACTTGAGGGCTCGGAGAGCTGCCAGCTCTGGGTCTGCTGTCGCCAGCCTTAGAGCGCTGGGGTAGGCAGGCACCACACCACTCCATTTGTATGCCCAGTCATGTCCTGGGGTTCGCTTTTCTTCCCCAGCAGAAGGAGATTGCAGTCTGGGTCTGGCCCTTCAGTTAGCAGTGTCCTAGAAAGTGTGCCCTGCCCCCCCCCCCACTGTTTGTGGCCTCGTGAAGAGGAGAGCACAAGTGTCAATAGTAACAGCAGAACAAAGAGATGAAGGCAATACTTTTTAATATCCCATCAGTCCAGGCAAGCAGGAGACCCAGGCGAAGGAACTTCCAAGAGGCTGAGATGGTCTAGTCTGAGGAAGGGAGTGCTTTCTGGTTCCCCCATGGCCGATATTCCCTCTCAACTTCAGAAGTGGGAGAGATGACGGGCCCATCTGTTTGGAATTTACTGCAAGGAGAAAGAGAGATGGGGAGGGGAGGGAGAGAGGGAGGGAGGAATAAAGAAGATGTGTGTGTGTGTGTGTGAGAGAGAGAGAGAGAGAGGAGAGAGACAGACAGAGAGAGAGAGAGACAGAGAGGGGGGAGAGAGGAAGGAGAGAGAGAGAGAGAGAGAGAGAGAGAGAATATGAAAATCCAATCTTGGCCATCTCTCTCCCCAACCTGTTCCCTACCATTGACCTCGGCAGCACTGGAATTCACAAAGAGCAGTCAGGATTTTTCAAACTGTTCTGGGGCAAGGTCTCTGAGCAGACAGTGGGGGCCATCCAGGCTGGTAGTCATTTGATTTGATTTGATTTGATTGTGGAAGTGGATTTCACAAATGCCGGGCAAACACTCTGCCACTCTTTTTTCCATTTTCTTACATTTCGAGACATGGTCTCAGTGCTCTGGCCAGGCCAGGAGTGAACTCACTCGGTAGTCAAGGCAGGCCTTGAAAGGCTGATCCTCCTACCTCAGTCTCTGGGGTAACTTGGATTACAGGGCTGTGCCACCAGACCTGGCTCAGGCTGGTAGTCTTCACCTGTTACCAGATATTTCTGTGAACAGTGTTTGTATGTATATACAGTGAACAAGCATGTCTATGTTATGGAGCTATCTACGGAGTCTCTCTGTCTCTCAAGGAGCCCAGAGAGCACCCGCAGATAGCCTTGAGGTCTACTTCAGGCTACACCTGAATGTCTGTCCCCTCTGCCTGGCTTCGGGTGGGTATGGGGAGAGACTGGGTTATAAAAGCAAATTTGACCAAGAGGGTAGAAGGGAGAGGGAGGAAACGCTTGTTGCAATGGGGACAGACTCGCTAATGGCCTAGTTAGTTGCCTTTGCTCAGGGGCTTGCCATTCAGCCACACTGTCCGCAGCTGACTGTGCATATTTGGGGCTGGCCAAGGCAGAGGGACACTGGTAGAAATCGTCTCCCAGGGAGCTGTGTTTGCACAGCAAATACACAGAGAGCACTGCACAGATCCAATGAAGCAGCTTGGAAGTTGTGCCGGAGACTGAGAGAAAAGATGGGGATCGGCTTGCCCGGAAAATGAAAGAGCATCAGACCAGGGGCTAGGAGGCCTGTGCTGGTAGAGCCATCCAAGACCTGATCTGTTTGTTGCCCTTCTCTGGGCCTCGGAGTCTCCATCGCTCAGGGAGAGGCTGTGCTCTGGTATCCTTGCTGCCAGTTCCGATTAAGTCAGGACTCACTGAATCCAGATATAGAGACTCTATTCATGTCTGAGGACATCTTTGAATCCTTTGCATCTGAGATTCGGTGGGACCTCCCAGAGCAATCGTCCTTCGAGGCAGCACCCCTCCCCTAACCACCCAACGGAGAGGCATCTTTAGGAACTTGTCTTTGGGGGAAGGGCCAAGCTCCCCCCTTCATCTTTCCCATCTCACCTGCACCTCCGGAAGTCCTTCCTGGATCTCCCTTTCATCCCTTCTGTATATTTGGGTTCTCCTGAAAGGAGTGTCTCTAGGGTCCCATTTTGAATTTCTTTTGTTTCCCCCAACCAAGGAGAGGAAGAATCTGACTGCACATCTGTTTGGAATTTGGGGTGGGGGTAGGGAAACGAGGCAGCTCACTTCTGGAGCACTCCATGAGTTCCAGGGTGGGGGGAACCTGGGAAAAACCAGAGCCTCCTGCCACCCCCTCCCCCTGATCCCCCTCCCTCCCATGGTCCCTGTCAGCTGCCTCTTTGGCCTTTCTCATCTCTGAAACAAACAAACAATCAGGAGGCAAACCTGAAACCTTGTGCTGAGACGGTAAACAGCGAGGCCGGCTGGGCTCCGGCCTTAATGGGCCCCAGCCCCGGCCTGTCTGCTCCCGCCGGCCTGCCTCCAATGTGTTTCTGATTTGTACCGAGCTAGCGGCTCTGCCACGCTGAATGTGGCAGCTGCCTCAGCCCCGCCTCTCGGGAATGCAGGGGTGGGAAGGTTGGGAGAAGTGGGAGGAGGGGACCCCACCTCCTCAAACAGCTTGGTGCAGAGGCCGTGGCAGGAACTTCGGAGCCATATACACAGACGTGGTCAGGGAAGGGGGTGGCAGTGCGGATGGATTTCATCTGGCTATAAACAAACATGCTTCTCATTTAAGGACCCAGGGGTGCCAGTCACCAGATCCCTCTTCCCCATTTTCCAGGGGGCAGGCAAAGCAACAATTGAAATAGGGATGCTTGGGGATCAGAATGGGTTCTTTTCAAGGAATCCTACCTCCCCCAAATGGTGGGAATTTTCTGAAGGTGGGAAGGCAGAAGCGGGCAGGAAGAAAATGAAGTTCTCTGAACAATTGCCTCCAGAAAACCTGGGAGGAGATGGACACAAGAAGTTCTTTCTGCAAAACAACTGAGGGGCAGGGGCCGAAGAATGCAGTGTTTATGACCTCTGACTCTAACTCTCAGAGTCCATGTACTATTGGGCTGGGTTTCCCTAGAGACTTGTGACGGAGGGGTTCGGTGCCCATCAAGAAGGTAGCCTTTGGTGGCCTAACCCCTCACTTGATGAGGAAAGGCATATGCCATCTTTGCTCGCTGACTTTGCATACCCATGCTTACCTTCCATGAGCATCTCCTTATAAGCTCAGCTTAAGCATCTTGGCCATTTCTCTTGCTCTTTCCATCCTTATGTTAAGATGTAAAACCTCTATGTTCCCACATCGACCGGGGGGTGGGGGTGGGGTGGGGGTGGGGTGGGGGGCAAGGACGACGACACAGGGGGAGGGGGGGGACGGGGGATGGGACGACGGACTATTGAGAAGGCAGAGTTGGCCAAGTGCTTTCCATCAAAGGAGTTTTCTTCTGATTAGGCATGGTGGTACATGCCTGTCATCCTAACCAGGCTAGGGAAGAAAGATTGCAAGTTTGAGACCAGCCTGGGCTACACAGTGAGACACTGAATGACTCAAAACCTAAATTTGGGCTGGGGATGTGGCTCAGTTGGTAGAGTGCTTGCCTAGCATGCACGGGGCCCTGGGTTCAGTCCTCAGCATCAAAGAAAACTGGGTGTGGTGGCACCCCTATAATCCTAGCACTTGGGAGGTGGAAGCAGGAGAATTCAAAGTTCAAGGTCATCCTCAGCAGCATAGAAAGTTCCAGGCCAGTGTGGGCTCCATGACACCATGTCTCAAAATCTAAATAATAATAAAAACCCACAAAAATGTCCCCAAATCACATGATATATTCAATTTTTAGCAATTTCCTTCCGCATCTTCCCCAGGGCCTTAAGTCACCGCTTACCATCTCAGGGGCCTTTCTGTACTTGGGATTAAAAGTATGATTGAGGTCAGGATCAATACGGTCTAGAAAATGGTAGCTTCAAGCCAGGTGTGGTGGTGTACACTTGTAATCCCAGCACTGGAGGGACTAAAGCGGGGGTGGGGGGGTGGGGGGGTCAGGGATGTCGGAATCATGAGTTTGAGGCCAGCCTGGAGTACACAGTGAGACTCTACTTTTTGTGTGTTTGTTTGTTTTGTTTTTAAAAAGACAAAAAAATGGAAAGAAAGGCAAAGAGAAGAAAGGAAGAAAAAAAGAGAAAAACGTAAGTTTTACTCTGTAGACTTACTCAACTCCCGTGGACATCTCAAGCTCTGGCTGTGATAATTATCCAACCGCTGCTCTCCCAGCCTAAAAGACTGGATTCGACCAGAAGGCAGGCCCCTGGGGGCAGCAGTCCAGTCCAAAAAGCCAGCCGTCTTGGCTGCCTCCTTCCTAGACCCCAACTCACAGGAATGTGGGAGGTGGTGGGGGAGCAGGATGTCCTTGGGAAAGCAGCCCCTGGGACCCTGTGGCTTTGTGGCTGTTTATTCCCCCTCCTGCTTATTCTTCAAGTCCTGAGCACTTCCCACAGTGTCTAGCCAGTTCAACTTATGCAAGCACCATTGTACGTTAACAAGGAAAACTCCCATCTCTAGTGTGCACATACCTCTCTTCTAGCTGCAACTCTGCTGAGAGACGGGGAGAGGAAGACCCTGTCACTCGGTGGGATGGTTACCCCCAAGGGTCTGGACTACACATACCTGTTACCCCTAGGTTCTGGACTACAAGTACCTGCATGTGGGTGTTTTGGGTGTAGATCTTGGGGGAACACAACCCTTTCTTTGTAGACATTTTGAGGGTGAGGAGCAACTGGTTTAGCCTTTGCAGTATTAGAGCAGACAGAAGAGGACTGTGACCCTCAGCCCCTCCCCTTAAGAGCTGCCTCTATGATCAGGTGGTCCCTACTCTGCTCCCCCAGAACAGTGCACTCCCCCTCTTTCTTCCCAGTTCCCGTGTCTCTCCTATACTCAGAAGCCATTGAGCCCAGCATGTCAAGCCTCTGCACACTCCAGGGACTGCAAGGGATACCATAATGGCAGCAGAGAGATGACATACAGGCTACCAGAAGGCTGCCCAAGCCAGAGGAACAAAGAAAGCTCCTGGCTGACCCCTGCCAGTAATGGCTTCCGGAATCAGATAATTCATTCTCCTGACTGATTTGAATCGCAGTTTCTCATCTAAGACCCTGTGGGAGGAGACATTAGATTACATGGCCATGAAGGGGCCCGACTTGCTGTGTCCCACTGTGACAGGATGACCAATACCACTAGCAGCACCCTAGGACTCCACTGTTTTTCCAGAGGTTTCTATCTTTTATAAACTCTTCCCCACACAACCAATGGCATCAAGCCAGCCTTGGTTTTGACATGGGCTTAGTGGGGCCCAGGCTGTATTGAGGGATACAGAGTGCCAGAGATCAATCATTCATTCATTTATTCCCACATCCAATCCTGTATTGGTACTCACAGGGTGCCCAGAAATGCCCAGTCTCACCTCCAGACCAAGATGTTTATTTGTTTTATTGAATTGTTGCTGTTTGTGTGTGGGAGTGTGGGTGGGCATGATGCATGTGGTAGTCAGGCAACAACTTTTAGGAGCTGATTCTCACCTTCTTCCACTGTCTTGAGACAGGGTCTCTCCTGATGGTCCTGCTGCTGCAGCTGCTTTTTGCACTAGGAGTGCTGGAATTACAGATACATGTGTGCTACCACATCTACTTTTCCTGTTTTAAATGGAGGTCCTGGGGATAGAACATGGGTCACCAGACTTGCATGGCTCATTCTTTTACCCAGTGATCTATCTTCCAGCCCCAGCCCAAAAGATTTATCAGCCTCACATTTCTCTGGCCTAGGGCTCTCCCCAGTTCAGCTCCAAAGTAGTTGCCACATAGTACCATCCATTCCCTCACCTCTGCCTAAGTCCACTGACCTCCTGAACTGACCCATTTGGGGTGGCAGCTTGGCTGTGTTTCAGCTCCTACCCTCCTCTGTAAGAACATCTCCTATTTAGTCCTCCAAACACGGGGGAATAATCCCTTGTTTGCTTTACCTGAGGTGTGGCTGGGCCCCAGGCCTCCTTGCCAGAACCTTCTGGATTCATTTTATATTCATATCCACCTCCATCCCCATCCCAGTTCTTCACACATTCCCAGCCCCCAGCCCCTCCAAGTGCTTCTGTGTACAGCTGTGGGCAACCATAGCAACAAAGCGAGACCTGGGTACAGAATCAGGGGTGTCCTGGTGCATCAGTTTGGGCACACTTGTGCAAAGATAGTGAAGGAATAGGAGCAGAGGGAGAGGAGTGGGGAGGTACCCGTGAGTGTGCATGGCAGAGTGCATGCTGGGGGAAAGCCAGCTGGGGTATATGTCAGACTGAATGGGCCGGTGTGTGACTCCATGTGTGATCCTCCCAGCGGCTGTCAGCCTGCATTAGCACACACATGGGCGAGCCTACACTTATACTCAGGAGGCAGCAGGGTAGAAGGGAGGGTGGAGAAACATACCGACTGTGGAAACAGAAGAGGTCTTCTGGTCTGAGCTTTGCTGCCGGATCTCTAAGTTTCTGTCCCCACTCTGGGTGTCAGTTTCTCCATGTCTAACCCCAGCGTGCTGAACTAGAGATCTCTAAGGACCTTTGGCAGCTTTAATATATATGCTCCAGTTCCTTAATGTTTTGCATGTGATAGCAGACTCAGAAAGGCTTCCTTCCTGAAGAAGGACACCAGGGAAAAGCATGCAGAACCACCTCTGAAATATGGATGAAACTTCCATTACTTTCCCATAACTTCCAGTCTCTGCTCTGTGTACTTCTGTCTCCTTACAGCCAAAGGACGGGCAGAGGCAAGGAGGGTGGGCTGTGTCTGAGCAACCTCCTCTGGTTAATGAGGGGTGGAGCAAGAGCCTCCAGCATCAGGCCTGGACCCAGGGTTGCTTTAGGTTGCTTTAGGTTCACAGACTCAGTGAAGAGGCTGCTGGGGAACAGAGAGCCCTTGTCTGGCGAATGGCCACCATTTTGTTCTAGTGGGAATTTAAGGGCAGAAGTAACGTAATGGGAGGTTGGACATCTCTGGAGGTTCATAAAGAACACGGTGTTTTTTAGAAGATGATTAATACAGGATACACACAGCAGGGTTTTTGAAGATAAATTCATTTGTGGTTTACCCAGGATTTTCAATCTGAATTATTACCACAATTGTATTGGGAGTGGCTTAGAAATTTTAAGGTGGGGTAGAATCTCCCCGTACAGTCATTGGTACCACCACGGCTGAACTGATTTTTAATCTTGACTTCCCATAGGCTTTCCTGGATTATCCAACTGTCCTGTGTCCCAATTGCCATCTGTGTAGTGCTGGAGAGGTGGGGAAAAGGGGTTGAGAATAGTTTCCTCTGCCCCAAGGACCTACCCAGCCAGCTCTCATAAGCAGCAATTCCATTCTTCTGACAAGACCTTGAGCTGTGGAAGTCAGCTCCATTGGCGCTGCAGTGAAAACGAGAGGCCCAGACTGCACACCGGGCCAGGCAAGCACTTTCCTA